CAGGCAGCCCGATTTACAGCCCCGCCAGCAGCCTGTGCCCCTCTCAGAGGCTCTGGGGGTGACTCTGCCCTGATTTAAAGCACTTGACAGGTAGCTGCTCAAGAGGCCAGGGCCACACCCACTTGAGTCACCATCAGTTCAGGTTAGGTTTGGATATGAAAAGAAAGAATATGGAAAAACGTGTATGGCAACATGTCCAAGAACAATACCGGCACCAAACTCTCCCAGCACCTGCAGCCTCTGCAGTCTGGGCAGTGAGCACGCTCAGCCTATGGACTGGCCGAGGGAGGGGGCTCTGGGTATCAGAAGAGGGCAGGAGACCTAATTCTGTACAATTCAGCCATAATCTGTGGCAGTCATGTGGCACTGAGCATAGTACCTAGAAAAACCTCTCATGCACGTTTCCTTTCAGAATTAACGGCCCCCAAACTAAAGTGGAGAAATTAAGAATGAAACGAAATTTGGGTGGTATGGACTTGAAGACACCTAGATAACTTGCAAGACTGTGGGTAAAGTGAGGGGAGAAGTCCTTAAATCCTTATTAGCTAGGACAATCACGTCTACCATGAAAAAGCCTGACCACGTGCTGTACAGAACCAAGATGACCCTCTGACAAAGTCCTAGGATTTGAAGAACTCAGGGGGCACACACACTTCTGTAACCAACTGTCTCTGTGGCTTCTTTTCCAAGTAGAGCTTTTGCTCTTTAACTGACTCCAAATGGCCCGGCATACTTTGAGTCTATAAACTTAAATTACACATCATCCTTAATCATGTGGCAAGATCAGTTCAACATTTTCTATCTGCTGACTGTGCAGATGCAAATTCAGTACCATTGTGGACACAAAGTACAAGATGCTGAAAATATCACCAAGCACTTGAAAGCCATAGCAGCAGGGATGGGAAAGTAACATGCAAGCACACCAGATTCTTTCAATGAAAAGGAAATTGACTTTTGGAAAAATCTGCCACAAAAATACTGCAGTAATGACATTTTTAGCATAAAAAAGAAAAGAAAAAAAAGAGCAGTCTTATTCAAGCATTGTTTGAATTTGAATAAGAGTTTGAACAGAGTTTACCAGGAATTCATTTCTTCAGAAACTGAAGGAAACTAAGGAGGTCTTGTTCTAGAACTCTGAGCATCTAAGCATCAGATCAAGATAGAGAAACAGATTAATACCACCTTTTAAATGAACAAACTTTTACTCAAAAATACCACTTGTGGGAATGGGGGAGTGGGAGAATTCGAGTAAAAAAATCAAAGATTTAGAAAGATATTCATCACAGCAGTATTTAAATAGTGAAAACCCAGAAACCATCTAAATGTTTTGTGACAGGGAAATAGATAAATTATGTTAAAACTTATAATCACTAAAGTCTACAATCATTAAAAACATTTCTGAATCATTGTTCATGACATGGGGAAATGCTTGAGATAAAAATATCAGGTGAAAAAAACAGGATGCAAAACAGTATATATTGGCCCTGGCCAATGTGGCTCAGTTGGATGGAGTGTTGTCCTGTGAACCAGAGTGTCTTAGGTTCAATTCCTTTTCAGGGCACCTACCCAGGTCCAGGTTCCATCTCTGTTTTGAGGTGTACAGGAGGCAACCCATTGATGTTTCTCTCCCCCTCCATTCCTCTCCAAAAATCAATAATAGTTAAAGAAAGAGCATATGTTGTATTCTCCCAGTTTAGATTAGAAAAGCAAATAAATTGGGAGCAGGGGGACAGGCTGGCTATACAACAAAATGTTCACAGTGGTCTTTTCTGGGTGGTAAGCTCAGGGTTGATTTTTTTCAGAAAACAAATGTTTTAAGAAAGTACTGAGTCACCCTGAGCCCCTATGCTAGCACACTGCCTGGGGTTGAGGGGTGGTGTGTGGTATGTGTGTCTGTGCCACAGGGCCATCTCCTGCAATTCTTTCAGGCCTGGTTCACAAATACCACAGTGTGTTCCGAGGGGGCTGGAGTAGGTGCAGTTCTCGCCAGCTTTGGTATGACCATGAGCCATTTTTCCCAAAGTAAGCCTGTCACAAGCTGTTAAGAGTCAGGTTCAGAATAGCAGGCAGTCAGCAGTGCCATTCATTGGTGGGGCTTCGTACTCCACAGGGGGCTGCCCACTGCCTATAGCCCTGGTCAGGTCCACAGAGAGAGGGAAGGAAACCATCCTAAGCAAACCCAGTTTCCTTGAGTTCCCAGAGACAGGCAAGGCACAGTGGAGACCACAGAACCTTCTGGCTGTCCTCCCTCCCCTCTGTGCAGAGAGAGGCCACATGGTGTGGGGCTGTCTCCAGTTGGCAGGTGCTTGGTTTGACTTGTTCTTGTCTTTTCTCATTAAGAAACATGGCTCCTGGATCTATTAAACAGGGCATTTTCTTTCCCATTCTGAATAAATTCACATTTCTATTTCCAGGCATGTCTGTGTATGTACATAGACTGACACCTCATCCACATCTCAGAATGTAAGGCACCTGCATGCCAGGATGATGGTTATAAGGAAAGTTGGATAAAACTAAAGTTGGCAGAAGTACAGGGTAAGAAAAGAATACATACGGGCCTTAAATAAAAGAGGACTCTGAGCAGGGAAAGTTGACTTACAGAGAAGGGCTCAGCTGTCACTGGCTCAGGCGAGGGCAGTCACTTCAGCTCTGTCAGCTTCAAGCTCAACCCTGAACCCATTTTCTGATTTTGGAGGTTAAGATGGAGCTTGTTGGTTAAGCCCAGGAGGTAGTGGCGCTATCCAGAGGGCAGAATGCAAGGGAGGACTTGTCTCCGGAACAGCCCAGATGAGTGCTCTTGGTAAACACAAACACCAGCTATGCTCGCTTCCCTGTAACCAGACACCTGGGAGAGACTACGCAGGAGCAGGCTCCTAACGCTTCTAACTGCACAGGTGGGTATTTTGAGAAGAGTAAAATGTAAATGTGGGAGTAAGCCTGAAGTAAAATTCTTGAGAGGGGCAATTCAGACTCACTTTCTGAAAAGCAGGTAAACACAGGCAAGCCTTTCCAAATCGAGGAGGCGGCGCAGCAGAGGGAGCTCGATCCAAGGGCACCCCACCCCCACACAGGTGTGAGCTGTCTGTCTCTCACATCTCACAGAGCAGAGGACAGGCCCGAGTAGAAACCACCAGCAAACCTGGCTCCCACCCCTGCTCCCACCTCAAGCCCTCTCCCCGCCCAGCACAGTGAATCCCCCACATCCATCCTTTTCTCCCGTTTTAGAACAGCCACTCTTATCGCTCAAACAGTGTGAGAAAGGCATCTTCTCTTTCCATTTGGACCACTGGCCACACAGGGTGACACATGGTGGTTTGAGATAGCAGGTGGGCAAGGAAGTGGTGAGGGGGTCCTTCCTGTGTGAGCCTTTTACTGGTGCCTGGTGAGAGTCTAAAGGCAAAGGAAAGGTGTTCCCCCCACCTGGGGACAGAAATGGGTCTGGGAGCAGCGCCTGCTTCTTTCCCACCTGGAACAGAGAACTGCCCTCCAGGGACACCTGGGTAGGGAGAGGAATGGCCAAGACCCACTGTCTAGGGAGCAGCAGCAAAGAAAATCAAAGGACTAGTAGGACCTGGGCCATGTGTAGGTTACAGTAGGGTGGGTGCCACCTCTAAGGAGCGAAAGGAGAGAATCTGAAATGGAAAGAGAGCAAGCTGGGCGCTTGGGTTCAAGTGTGGTGTTCCTGCCCCTCGTGCAAGGCAAGCAACACTTTTTTTCCAGGCAAAGTCCACTCCATGGAGACCAGATGACCTGGCACCAAGAGAAGGCATTAGATTCTCACTGTTGGGATGTAAAAATGTTAGGCTGTGAGAATATAAAATCATAACACGAAGAGTGCATGTGCTGACCCAGAGCCTGTACTCCTCCCACCGCCCAAATGTGATTGAGTACCATCCAATGTGTGAGAGCAGAAGTCTCTTGGCTCCTATTTAACTGGTCTGGGGGAGGCCTACACACTTTAACTTTTAGACAAACTCTCAGGAGAGGCTAATCAGGTCTCACTCCTCCATGTAGAGGCCACCAGGTCCAGTGTGCCCTGCTGCCCTGGCCTTACACAGGGCCTGCAGAGCTGTCTCCTGGTGCAAGTGGGGCTAACCAGGCCCACTCCCGACAGTGCTCCCTGCAGGCATGTGCTTGGTTTCCAGCCCCAGAGGGCAACACCGCTCAGAAGGATGATGGATCGGAACCTTGCTGGCAGTGGCTGGTATTTCACCTGGTAGCCTGTTCCACTTCTCACCACTGGGATCCTGCCTGGCATTCACAACATGTGGAGCACTCGCAGACAGCAAAACCCCAGAAATCCTGCAGCCAGAGCTACTCCAGGAGGAAAGCAAGGGGCCTGCAGCACAGGGGATGGGCCATGAACTAGGACGTAAGGAAAAGAGCACACGGACAAAAGCCAAGCACCCTCCCACCCCATGGACGTCAGAGGCTACCCCCAAGAGACCACAACTCCCTGGTGAAGAGTTCCATGGTAATCTAGGGGCCAAAAGAACCCAGAGACACACCCTGCCCCCTAGGCCACATCACGACTGGCAGGTGACCAGGGTGCATGGTGGAGAGTTGGTGACACTGGTCCACTGGTCCAGGTGGGAATCAGGTAGACGTGCACAGCACTGGGTCCTGGCGACAAGGACAGCTCGGGGCAGCCTCCATACAGCACAGAGAGCAAGCAAAGCGACCCTGAATTCCTGTTCATTATTGGTTTTGTTCTTTGTGTGGTTGGGTATTTTTTTCTTCTTTTCTTTTAAATAAAAAAGCTGCAAGGTTCCACTGTCTGCATTCCCCTTGCGATGGCTGGCAGGTGGTCTGGAAGCGTCCCGGATGGCGGTGAGCTGCGCTGGGGCGCATGTCCTGGCAGCGAGGGCAGGGCTGTGGGCTGTCACTGCACGGCGGCATCTGGGTGGCTCTGGTATCTGTGCCTCCACACCTCCTGAATCTTTTTGCACCATTTGTGAGCATTCCCACTCGGGTCCATCAGGTAATATGTCCTGTTTGGCTGCAGAGAAAGAAACCGTTTAATGTTCTCAAGGGATTGAGTCTCCCTAAGACCAGCACCTCACCCTATTGGGGAGAAATTATAGAAAGAAACTGCCATCCTACTGCAGCCACTGAAGATGCCTCTGGAAGCACATGAACATGTGGATTTCTTCCTTTCATATATGTGCAGATATTAAATATGCAGGTGATGACCGACAGATACCTCAGGTCACCCTCCAAGTGAAAAACAAGCACAGGTGTCTCCCAACCCAACTCAGAACTGAGCCATGAATGTGGGGCCCCTGGGACATGGGAAAAGGGGAGACAACCGCCTTGATCCAGTGTTTGGATGCTTCAAACAGAAGTACAAAGGCCTCCAACTGTCCTTCAAAGAACACATAGGGACAAACTTACTGTGTGGACAAAGAAGGTTTTAAAATTCTTGGCCTCTGGTCGGAGTTCTTGTGACCATGGAATTTCACCTTTCAGGACTTTGTTGACAGGATCCACATAATATAAGTGTGGCCCTTCTGTGAGTAGTAATTGTCGTCGTCGTGCAAATAAACCCTGACAAAAAAAAAAAAAGGCCCAGCTTGTCAAGACTCAGAAGCGGGTGACAGTGCTGACTGTTGCCTCAGAGGCTGGACTGTCAGAGTAGCTCAGGGCAAAGGGACCACTGCCAGACATCTATCCACTCACCTGGGACAAAGGGAGTGTGCACACCTCAATCCCCATGTGGACCTGGCCTTGGACCAGAGACTGGAAGATTTACTGCTTGTTTTTGGTGATCTGGATCCCATTACCCCCATTTTGGGTGTCCCTATTTTGGTTGTCATGTGGGGGCGAGGCAGCACAGGCCAGCCCATCAGCATAGGTCCCTGTGGCTAAGCAAACTCTGATGGGCCCACCATCAATGGTCAGCCCCCACCACTTTTTGTGCCTTCTGCTCCACACTGAGGCACAGAGCTCTGCCTGCTGGTTGCTCACACCTCACCCACCTTCATGGAGGTTCTCATCTGCTGAGAATGCCCCAGGGTGGGCCAGAAATGGATGCCAGGGGCCTGAGCTTAGAAGAGCCTGTGTCAGCAGATGCAGAACATTTATGGAATCTAATATGCTTTGATAAAATTAATCCATTTTATTAATCCATAAGACATAATAAACAACAATCTTCAAAAACAATTCTAATGAAGTGATAGGTGACTTGCAGGGATGTCAAGCATAATCTCCTCAACAGGACAGAAACTCTGACATCAGTGAACCCAGCCTCATGGAGGCACCAGAACCCTGGCTCCCGAGAAAAAATGAGAGGCTCAATTTCTGTTTTGCTACAGCTGAAAAGCCAAAATCTCCCTTAGCTATCAAATCTAGAGAGGATCTCTAAAATTGCAGCAGGAACCCAAGAGGAAGGCACGATCCTGAGTAAGAACCAAGAGGGAAGCCCTGGCCGGTACGGCTCAGTGGTTAGAGTGTCGGCCCGTGCACTGAAGGGTCACGGGTTCGATTCCCGGTCATGGGTTGCAGGTTTGTTCCCTGGCCCGGGTCAGGGTGCATGGAGGAAGAAGCCAGTCGATATGTCTTTCTCACATCAGTGTTTCTCTGCCCCCCACCCCCACTCCTTCCCTTCTATCCTAAAAATCAATGGAAAAAATATCCTTGGGTGAGGATTAATAACAGAAGAACCAGGAGAGAGAGACAGACAGATGCACAGGAAGGAACAGTGGGAGTCTAACTTACCTTTCGCTTATCTACTGGACCCATTTTTAGTATTAAATTATTTTCTACAAACTGGTGCCTACAAAAGAAGAAAACAAGAATGAGACACTCACATGAATAAGAGACAGAAACTCTCCAACTCCTCCCTTCAGAACAAACTTCCCAGTGGCATCTGTGAACTGTGCTTTAAGCTTCTCCCTTTACAGATCCAAACTCACTTCAGTAACATGAGAAAATTCCAAATGTAACTGAGCACACGCGCACTGCTGCTTTATAGAACTTGCAATCTGTATTTGGACAGGGTACCAGATATATCACCTGCTTCCCCCCCTCACTTGGCAGCCTTCACACAACCAAGGAAAGGTAGAGGGAGACAGGGCTGCAGAGCTGAGCCCATCATGCAAGTCCTCGTTACTTTAAACAAACCACTGCTGAGACACGTAACCCCTCCAAAAGGGCAGAGCCTGCTGGGAATCAACCTGAGGATGAAGCCTGTTGTTCATACATTACTTCCACAAGCTGGGACCCCAAGTCAGTGTTCAGAACCCACTGAGCAGCTTAGAGTCATAAATCCCCAAAAGACTCAAATTGGACTTGGTTTAAGAACATCTCATCTGGCCCTGGCCTGGTAGCTCAGTTAGTTAGAGCATTGTCCCAATACCCAAGGTTGCAGGTTCAATCCCTGGTCAGGGCACATACAAGAATCAACCAATGGATGCATAAATAAATGGAACAACGAATTGATGTTTCTCTCTAAAAACAAAATTAAAAAAATAAAAGAACATCTCATCTGATGTTTTTACCATAGTAATAAAGCACTTTTATTCAAACACAGCAGGAATTTGGAAGAAAAGCTTCAAATACAGGTTTTGATTTAATACACATAATGAGCAAAATATAGGTCACTTTAATTCCTAGGAGTTTAAAAGAGGTTGTTTTAATGCCTGCAGGCTATCTCCTCTGGTTAAAGTTAATAGTTACTGGTTTATGTTCTGATTTTATTAAAATTCCTGATCCAGGGTTCTACTGTAGAAACACAAAATATTTTATATTTGAAAACACGTAAGACAACTGTCATCTCAAACAGTGACAATTTTACCATCTAAGTATCTGAGTGCACCCACATGCTTCTCTGGCTCATTTCAGGACCAAGTGCATATTCAAGCAGACTGGCTGAGCTGCTGGAACCACATTCTCCCACCAAGCGTGCCTGGCCCAGCCTGACCCAACCAGACCAATGCCCACACCACAGAGCCCACTGGACTTGCCTGTTGAGACCCCATCACCAAGGAATGAGCCCCAAGCAAACTGACACAGCATCATATGGATTTTGAAAACAACGAAGAATATTAACAACAAAACAGGGCTGTGATCTATACAAGGAAAAAAGTATAGTACTTCACGCTCAGGGTTACTCAAGAGATAAGCAGCCCTGGCTGGTGTGTTCAATGGTCAGAGCATCAGCCTGCACACTGGAGGGTCTCTGGTTGGATTCCTGGTCAAGGGTACATACCTGAGTTGCAGGTTCAAAACCTGCCCCCAGTTAGGGTCTGTGCAGGTGGCAACTGGTCAATGTATCTCTCTCACATCGATGTTTCTCTCTCCCCCCCCTTCCACTCCCTCTGAAAAATCAATGGAAAAAATATCCTCAGGTGAGGATTAAAAAAATAACCAAAATTATCAAGAAAACACACTGGAGAAGATTTTTAGCAAATACAACCAACATCTGTACTTTACAGAGCATCTACAAACTGACTGACATGAAAGGTTAAAATCTTAATAGCTAAGGATACAAACTGGAAATTCCCAAAGAGGAATTAAGTGACCCGAAAAATTCTCAATAAAGAAATGAGACTGAGCCCCACTCTCACATGTTCTATCGAGATGCACTGGTGTGCAGACAAGTGCTGTATGGATACTGTGGAAGTGGTGGTCTCATTCAGTACTGGCACTGATAGGCCTGAAATTAGGAGGACCTGCTGAAAAAGCAATTTGGAAATAATGTACTGAGAAGTAGTCCCACTCCCAAAAATCTATCCTAAGGAACAAAAGACAAGCAAAGACCAGGAGCACTCATATTCACAGCTATTATTCACAATGTGAATCTGAAGCCATGAGATGGTTCAGCAATAGAACATTCTGGCACCACATGGAAACATGAGAGCCCGGTTCCTTGTCCCTACAGAGTGAGGACCCCAACTGACAAGCACCAGCTCCTCCAAGGCACATGGATGTGCATTCTCTCTCCTCACATATGCCTGCCAGCACACAGCCACCTCTCCCAACTTCTCTGATGACAGGACACAGGAAAGACACTAGTGTCCCAGATAGTGAAAAGCTGATGGGATCCGGTGACCAGCACCCCAAGGAGGCAGGACTGGAGGGGGTGGACAGAGATGGTCAGAGCTCCATTAGCATAAATACCACAGTCTATTCATTCAGTTAATTAACCAATTAGCTTAAACAGTCTACTAGTTATTTATCTACTTTGGAAGGTGTAAGTACTTAAATCAATCCTTTCGATTTTTTTACTTCAAAGGGTCAATTCCTACTCTCCCAAAGAAAACACCCCTTCCCCTGCACTAGGCACCTTTTTCTCTCTGGCAGGTGGCAAGTGCAGTCTGCAGATTCAGAGCTGAAAACAGACCTAAGTCAGAGACATACCTAACTCTTGGCATGTAGTTAGCATGTATAAGAGGCTTTACCACAGCCCCCGAGATCACACACAGCCTTCTGCTCCCTTAAGTCCCTGGCAACAGGCCACATTTATCACCTCATTACAGATGTTGACGCAGGAGCTGAGGCTCTCCTATTTGCCCACGGTCATTTCACAGGGGGTGAGTGTAAAACCCCCCTATTTTCCCACAGTCATTTCACAAGGGGTGACAGTATTTCCTGATTCCAAAGCCAGAGTCTTCTCCTCTCATCATCACTCTATTCCACCCCACCCAGACTCCAAGATGACCAGTTTCAAGGATGCAAACCTGAAGCCACCAGCAAGCTAGGGCCATTTCAGGACACAGACACCCTCAGGAGAGCCCAGTGAGGCTGTCAGAGGCCCAATGTGACCACCTCAGGAGGGTGCTCCATACTTGGCTTCTACGCAAGTGAGGGAGGAACAAGTGGCCAGTTTGCTCTAAAACACCAGCTCTCAAACCTTCAGGTCTCAGAATCCCTTTATACTCTTAAACCTTACGGAAGCCCTGGCTGGTGTTGCTCAGTGGTTAGAGTGTCGGACCATGCACCAGAAGGTCACACGTTTGATTCTGGATCAAGGGAAGAAGGTTCAATCCCTGGCCCTTGTTGGGGCATATGTGGGAAGCAACCAATCGATGTGTCTCCCACATTGATGTTTCTCTTTCTTTCTTCCCCCCTCCCTTTCACTCTCTCTAAAAATCAATGGAAAAAATATCCTCAGGTAAGGATTAAATAAATAAATAAACAAACCTTATAGAAGACCCCAAAGAGCTTTCCTTAATTTGGGTTATATCCATTGATATTTACTATGAGAAATTAAAACAGGCATTTTTCAAGTATTTAATTCATTAAAAAACTAAACCCAATAAATTTAATAAAAAATAAATAAACATGCCCTAGCCAGTCTGGCTCAGTCGTTAGAGCATTGGCCCACAGACTGAAAGGTCCTGGGTTCAATATTGGCCAAGGGCAAGCACCTTGGTTGCAGGCTCCATCCCCAGCCCCAGTCGGGACACATGCGGGAGGTAACCAATTCATGTCTCTCTCTCACATCGATGTTTCTGTCTGTCTGTCTGTCTCTCTCTCTCTCTTCCCCCCTCTTCCACTTTCTCTGAAAAGCAATGGAAGATATCCTCGGGTGAGGATTAAAAAAAAATTAACAAAAATCATAGACCCATTACATGTGAATAATATTTTCATTTGAAAAATGACTTTTCTCCAAAACAAAGATAATGAGAAGTATGGCTGCTGTACATCTGCAAAACTGTTAAACATCTGGCTTCAGGGAAGAGAGCTAGACTCTATTTGTCTCTGCCTTTACTCTACTTTGACATATGGTCCAGGATGAAGGACATGAAGAAATCAGCCTTACTCAGGTAAGTCACTGGAAAAGGGAGGAGTATTTTAACAGCCCTTCCAGATATTTGTGGGCATACTTCTTTGATACAGCACTCAAATTAGATAAGTGTCGTTTCCTAAAGGTTAGCTGCCGTGTGAAATCTAAATCTCCAACAATGAACTTTTCATATTCTGTGACATTAGAATGGATTGACCTTGCACTTTGAATAAATCTTCCACCCATATGACTTTACAGCGCCATACATCGGTCATCTGGAAAATAGCGGTTCACTGAGTTACAGAGATCTTCCAAATGTTGACAAATTCCATTCTACCATATCAACAAATCCATCAATATCACTAAAAAAAGTCTTTAAGTATCAAGGTCACAGTGACAGCATGGAAAAAGATGGAAACACTGCTCTCCCTGGACACTTCAGAGTCATGGCGGGGGAAACGAGCCACCTGGAGAAAAGGGTCACAGCAGCAACCTTGGGGACAGGCCCCAACCTCAACTAGTTCTTTCACTGCTGGGGAAAGGGGGGGGGGGCTACATCTTATTTGAAGGTAAGTTGGGATTGATAAAAGGCAAATACAAGCAAAGCAGTGAGTCTAGTCCCGTCTGTAAATTCATACACTCTTGAGGTAAAAGTACAACTCAGAGATAGAGATACCAACTCACTCTTCCTGTCTGCAGCTGCATCTTTATATATATATACGTGTGTGTGTATATACATATATACACACATATATATGTACATATAAATATTTTTAATATATACATATATTTTAATCCTCACCAAGGATATTTTTTCCATTGCTTTTTAGAGAGAGTGGAGGGGTGGAGCGGGGAGAGAGAAACATTGATGTGTGAGAGACACATTGATTGGTTGCCTCCCGCACCCACTGGGGCTGAGGACTGAGCCTGCAACTGGGGTACATGCCTTTAGCCAGAATCAAACCTGGAACCCTTTAGTCTGTGAGCTGATGCTCTAACCACTGAACCAAACTGGCTAGGGCTGCTAGCCGCATCTTTAATCCAGTGAGTTTCTGTATTGAGGACAGTGGCAGTGCCAGGATTTCTCTCACCAACTTCTATCCAGCAGGCACACAGCAATGTTGATGGCCCAAAGCTTTTTAGTCTCCCAGCTATTGTGTGCATTTCTCCAACCTCAACAACATAACTTCTCTAAGATGCTCAGTGACATTACTGTTTGGCTTTGAAAGAGCTCACGATGTGTACAGTTAAAATATTCAATTCCTTTATCTTTGAAATTCTAAATGATTGTTCTCAAAATGCTGCAACTTACCTGTCATCATAATAGTATGCAAAAATGTTTGGTTCACAGATACAAAACGGCAAGGTGTTAACACCTATAAAGGCCAAGGAAAAAATACCTTTTGTCCTATTTTTGTTTCATATTTACACTTTTGCCCAGTTTCTCTGGAGTAGAGTCCTCCCTTCCATGAGTCAGTGAGAACTCTGATATGTAAGTGTCTTCTTTTTAGCATCTTTAGACTTAGGTGGTGCTGCTATGGGTTGAAAAAACAAGTCTTCTCCCTTTTTAAGTCAATGATTCTACTTACGTATGAAAAATGTATTATAAATGTTCTTTTATTTTAAAATAACTCATTAAAATCGAAAGTAACAGTTGCAGATACAACTTACAAAAGTGTTTGGGAAATTTTCAATATTATTGTAAAACAGCCCTGGCCCATGTGGCACAACGGTTAGACCATAAAGCTGCACACCAAAGGGTTACAGGTCCCATCCCCCCTGGAGGCGTACAGGAGGCAACCAATAGATGTGTCTCTCTCACATAGATGTTTCTCTCTCTCTCTCCCCCCTCCCTAAAAATCAATGGAAAAAACACTTAGGTAAGGATTAAAAAAAATATATATATATATATATACACACACACACACACATGTAGTAAAACAAGTCAACAAAGTGTACTTCTTGTTGTATTTCCATGTTAGGCACAAGGAAAACTTCAGGATTTCAAAGAAATAATTTACTGAATGATATAAAGTTACAGTAATTATAGCAGATATAACTGAGCTACTAAGAGTTCAGAAGCAATACCAAGAACTTAACACTTTCTAAAAATGCAGTCAAAAAATAAAAATAAAAAAAATGCACTGTCAAAATTTATGACAGATTTAAGCAAGGAGGAATCTGGAGTGCCTGGGGGAGGAGCTCTCTCACACCCTTTGTTGATTGTGAAATCCCTACAGGAAGAAATCTAGGGTGATAGCTGAGCTCTAGGGTTAGAACAGTTCCTCCCCTTACCTTCCATTTCCCCTCCGTAAAGAACTTCCTGATCTTGAAGGAGGCTCCAGGTCTGCATCTATCAGATTACAATCCTTCTTCCCCACCCCCATCTCATGAATTCTTTGTGCAGACGGGATATCTAGTTAACTTTCTGTTTAGGGCGAACAGCACATTATTTATACCGTAAACCTACTTTACAAGACTCAAAAAAGACAAGAAAACACATTCTATTAGCCATCAACGCAATGTCATTCCTACAGTGTGTAGCCTCTGAAAAACTACTGTACATTCATAGAGAATAAAAGTGAAAAAAGCGAATATCGTTTTAGTAGTATTACAGAATTATTATTATGGTCTGTGGGCCAAACACTGAGAACCACTATTCTAAAGAACAAAAAGTGCCTGATGGATCTCCCACTGCCAAATAAGTGATGCCTAAAGCTCTTTGCAGTCACCAGCCTCCAAATAGGCCTGAACAAAAAGGAAAGGCAGAGAATCTGGAACAAAAAGAAGGAGGCAAGAGGCTGAACACTGTGACTTGTCATCAGATGCTCCATCCTGCCCAGAACTGAGGCTGAAGGGCCTGTGCCACCAGGGGCTTCTTAAAAATGCCTGGGCAAAGGCAAGTGGTCCCTCTGGGAAGTCCCTCACAGGTGAGCAACGCCACTCCTCTAGTGCTCTTCTCCTGGCCATGCCCTTGGGGAGGACTCAGCAGGTGTCCCAAGAAGCTCCTGCACAACCCAGGCACAGACCTGCCTGGAGTGTATGTATAGTCCACCAGTGCTCAAACTGTTTTGATCAAAGCCCCTTCCCTCCTTCTCAGTACATATTAGTATCACCACTTTAGGAAATATAGATTCCTGAGAAGTGTAGAGTATTTCAGCTGCCACCATCTATACTCACTTTTTCTAGACACAGTAATTTCTAATGCACAAACCCTAGTTTTGCCCTTGTGCTGCTTTTCTCCTTTTTGTTTTCCTCCTCCACAAGACTGCTCCTAAGTCACATGCATCCTCTCTCATATACAGTCCATCCCTCAAATCCTGTCCAGCTTCTCTTTCCATCTCCACACAGTCTCTTACCCCTCAACATGACTTGTTGAAAGACACCATCCACCATGATCCCTGGCCTTGGGCTCCTCTCTGCCCTTGGGGAAGGTGAAATCACAAAAATTTGTGAGGAAAATGTCGGTGGAGAAGCTCTTTTCAACATTACCAAGATGGAAAACAAAACATGAACAGGTTTGATTTTGTAAGAATTTTCAACTTTCATACAAAAACATACAAACAGACCAAAGAGATAAACTGAAGAAAAATGTTTGCAGAATGGACAATAGAGAAATATTATTCATGTCTATGGGTTTTAAGTCATTTTAGCCCTGGCTGGTGTTGCTCAGTGGTTACAGAGCGTCAGCCTGCACACTGAAGGGTCTTGGGTTTGATTCCCAATCAAGGGCATGTACCTGGTTTTGTAGGATCAAACCCTGGCCCAGGTCAGGAGGCAACTGATCAATGTGTATCTCTCACATCGATGTTTCTCTCTCCCCCACACTCCTTCCACTCTCTCTAAAATCAATGGAAGAAATATCTTTGGGTGAGGATTAACAAAAAAATAAAAAGTCAATTTTTAAAAAATGCAAAACATGCCCTAGCAGTTTTTGCTCAGTGGTTAGAGTATCAGCCTGAGGACCAAAGGGTCCCAGGTTTGATTCCAGCCAAGGGCACATACCTCAGTTACAGGCTCAGTCCCAGGCCCTGGTTGGGGAGTGTGAGGGAGGCAACCAGTTGACGTGTCTCTCTCACATCCATGTGTCTCTCTCTCTACTCCCTCATGCTTCTACTCTGCCTAAAAAGCAATGGGAAGAATATCCTTGGGTGAGGATTGAAAAAAAGCAAAACATGTAAGAAGAAAGTCAAAGGACACAAAGTACCTTGAAAAATAAACACAAATGGCCAATGAATCTAGGAGATGTTTGCCTTGGTAAGAATACAAATGCAAAATCACACGAGCCCATTTTTAGAGCATCAAAATGCTCAAGGGCAGGCAAGACCATTGGGGAAGTGGAGGTTCTCAGGCACTGCAGATACAAAGCACCGCCTTCTTAAATGCACACCTTCACTACACCCGCCACCCCAAGACTCCACCTTAAAGTAATATTCAGACAAGTGGGAAAAACCATGTGCAAAGGATGACTTACAAGAGCAAAAACTCTGGAACACCCCAAACGTCTCCCCATGGAGCAGTGGTTATTTAAATCATGGTGAATCAGGTCCAAACACAGAGGTCAGCATGCCTGGCCTGCTGAGTCCCAAGAGCTAGAGCCTGGAGAGTCCCAGTCGCACTCACTCCAAGCCCAACACTTCTGAATACCCACTTCCAGTTGGACCCTTTGAAGAGCCTCACTGCAAAGTGTTAATGGCAGTTTTGGGAGGTGTGAAGTGGTGTGGAGCCTCACAGGCAGTGGTGATGAAGGCTAGGACAGGATGCCTGCTCTCTGTTTACCACTTCTCGAGTTCCCATATTCCGCTCTGCATTTTTAAAGGGAGTACTGCTTATGCCTATAAGTTCTTACCAAGGGTTTCCACTGGCCTGCTTCTCCAATAATAACCTCTTCTCATCTTCAGAAAACTGTAAGTCCAGTTCAAAAGAATTAGTGTCCAGGTCATGGATATACTGCTCGATGTTGCTGCCTGCCCTCTGCGGCAGACCCGTGTCTGAGGCAGACAGGGAGTGGGAAGATGATGACGATGACACCTGCATGCAGCCAAACTGGCTCAGGAGATTGTCGTACTGCACAGAGAAGAGGGAAAAGTGAGAACAGCATCTTCATTTCCCTAGGGTCCAAAGATGCAGACAACTCTGACTTCCCCTATACCACAAGGCTCACAGCCTGATGGCCCCAGAGCCCAGCTCTACTTCTGGTAAGTGTGGGCAACTCTAATTTCTCCACTGGATGGCTGGCCACTAAACCAAGGCAGGGCTGGATCCTGCCTGGTCTGGGTACCCTTTCTGAGGAAAACATGAGAAGATGTTTGCCCCAGAGAGCAGCTAACCTTCAGCCTTCATCTCCAGGAAGGGAAGACTTCTGCAAGCCCCTCTGCTGCCCAGACTTAAGGGGGTTATGATGCCTTCTGGGAAGAGGAGGGATGGGCACCTATGGCCCTGGAGAATCCACCCTCCTGGGTGCAGAGGCTCAGTGGCAGGACCCTGTGAGCTCAGAGCCCTCCTCCTTTGACCCTGTGGTCCTATGTGTCTGAGTTTGTGGCTGTCACTACATATTCCAATTTGACTGTGTTTAATTAAAAAACAACAACTCCTTTCTAATGTCAGCAAAGATTAATTAAACTTGATATAGACAGTTGCCTGCTATTCTGGAGAAAGATACAAACCACTGGTGAGACAGAAAATAGAATGACTCACAAATGTACCAAATAGGCAGGGGCTGTGCACTCGCACTCTCCTGGGTTGCTAAACGGGCCAGAGAGCCCCAGCAAAGACCTGGGAAGAAGAGGGCACCCGGGACAGCCGGCCCCACCATAGCTAACAAAGAGAAAAAGGAAAGATGCACCAGAAACAGGCAAGATGAGAGTGCAGGGCATCCTTCCAAGTCCCTGGTGCCTGCAGAGGTATGACTCCCTCCTGCAGACCCAGCGCGAACCCTCATGTGTTGCCCCAAGCAGCCTTCTCTCACGAGCTCACACAGCTCCAACAGCAGTCTCAGCCCTGCATCATTGGATCCCAGGTTGGAGTGACCCTAGGATACTTCTGTGGCCCCTCCATCTAAGGCCCTGTGCATTCTCCACTTCCTCTCTGAAAACTGCTCCCAAGGCCACTTCTGGGCAGTGTCTCACAGTTTACAGAGGTTTTCACAAACCTCCCTGGGTGTCTCAATGAGCTTGCGAAGCCAGTGAGATGACTGTTACCATCATCCCCATTTCTGAAACAGGGAAATGAGGCTCAGAACTGGCCCAACGTACCAACCCAACGGCCAATGCAGAATTCAGAACTAGTTCCCTGCATCTTTCTAATGCAGTGACTGCGTTGCTCCCATGGTGGAACTGCTGGCTAACTGCTGGGTAAGTCCTATCTTGGGGCCTCCATTGTACTGTTCCCAGGGAAAGCTCTGGATGCTCTATCTCTACACTCTACTCTTCTCCCCTCAGCAGCATTTAGTACAGACCAGCAGCATAAAACCCCAAACCTAGAAAGGACATGTGACAAGGGATGACACTGGGCTAGAGTAGAGGTGCTCACCAACGCACAGTGAGAAAACACCAGACTGTGCTGAACACTGAACTTTTCTCCAATGTCACTCCAAGTCTAGACACAAGCATCACCGTCAGCCACCAGCACAGTTAGGAATACAGATGACAACAGGGTGCCTGCTCTCTTCATTCCCTGAATTAAGACAGTTTCTGCTTCTCGCATTCAGAGGTAAGTTCTCTTCCTGCTGAAAAGGACACTAGATTATCTTGGAGCCTAGTGCAACTGTCCCCTCCATGACACAATGTCAACCTCCGCAGGAAGGGAGTGTATCCTTGAGCAGGATTCCTCTGTATTTGATACCTTTCCAGCTGAAAGTCTTTTTCAAGGCTTACGAAACTGTCCAAATGTGAAGTGTGGTATAGGGAGCTCAGACCAAATACTTTCCAAGGCTTTCAAACCACATAGCCTTCAAAGCTGAGGGTGAGCCATCTGACAAAAAGTAAGCTGCTAACATGTGGAGCCGGTTTGAGATGGCAACACTTGAGTAATGAGAAGCCAGAGCTCTCAACATGGCAAAGGTAATGAAACAGCAGAAAAAGGGCCTGAAAAAGACATTCAAGTGGGTGTACATGCATACACACAAACACGTACATGTACATACTCGCACACAGATGCTACATGAAGCTTAGATCCCTAGGGACTGAGATTCGAGACAACTGGGGCTTAGTTAGCTCCATCAGAGCTTAGCCAGCGGAATATGTTGCTTCCTTGGGACACCCCTACCAAAGGCACTGGAGACACTAACATGCTTCTGCTGGCTGTGACTTAGGAACAACAACTGGGCCAGGGGAGGAAGACTTGGGGTTGAGCCCTCTACATACACGGAGGCCACGGCCACTGCAACACAGAAGCAGGGCAGGCTCCCTTCAAGTCTGACCACAAAGGACATTTCAGGACGAGCAGAGAGGGATGTGTTCTTACAACAGTAGGTAGGAGACATAAGGAGCTCTTGATCTCTGAGAGGTGATACCAGTAATAATTTTAATTTGGCTCTGGATGACTCTTAGATAAAGTATAGAAATCCTATATCAACTAAAGCAGAACTCTATATGTAATTGGTTAGAATAAGCCACAATAACAGAACTCAAGCCAGAAAAATAGACTATCAATGATAATAAAAAGACTTGAAGGTGGGTGATGGTGTACTGCAGCTCATTGTACTTCTCCGTCCAATTCCATATGCTTCCACAAGAAAAATTTAAAGAACAAAGTGTATTTACACCTATGTCTCAGTTCAAGCTGTTGACTACAGCTTCCCACACATGCCCAGGTGCTGCACCCCTTGGGCTTGTACCATGGTCCCAGCTTCTACCAGGAACTAAAAGCTGACACTGACCAGTGTCCATCCTCAATGCCATATCCCCAAAAAGTTCAAAGCAGTAGCACCCTTTGGAAAGATCAGAAGCATTCCAGAATGTCTTTAGACATACAATTATAAAGGCACCAGCCAAAGGCATAAGACAGATGCCCACCAGGAGACTTGGCACCCAGGAGCCCAAGGGGGAAAAGTGGAGGGTGTTGCTCCCACTAGCTCGACTCCCTCACCCAACATCTGGCTCTAGTTCGATCCCTATGGGTAAAAATTAACCAGAAGAAATGAGAAAAAGGGACTCGACCATCCCAGGGCCTGGTGAACTGCACTCAGGACAGATGTGCAGACAAAAGCCACTTTGGGCCTAGTCTCAGTGAGAGACTCAGACTTGGGCTGCAAAGTGTTCCACCACCACTGAATCTATGCCGGCTTCTCCTTGGGCTATTCAACCCATGAACTGGAGTCCCATGGCCCAAGGGTACAAACTTCCTAAGCACTGAGGAAGCATTTTCACGAAGCATGACAAGCAGAAGCCATTTCTGCCTCGGCTATTCCTGACACACATGAGCAGCTTACGTTTCCATAGCAGTCTTCATCATCTTCCGACATGGCTGGTAAGTAAGCTGTGAGTTTCGGAGGTGTCTGATGATGCAGATTCTCCCACGTGATGGACTCAAAGAATGAATGGGCTTTCAGAGGGCCGTACCCCTCCATTTCTTCACAGCCTAATCGCTTTGTGGCATCTAAAACCTTAAACAAACATTGAGACATGTTAGTGTCAGGGTTAAAAAGTAATTCTAACAAAAGTTCTTTTTGAGTAGTTCCCTTAGCCCTGGTGTCATCCAGATACACCATGGTTGTGGGTTGGATCCCCGGTCAGGGCACAAACAAAAAGCAACCAATAAATGCATAAATAAGTGGAATAACAAATTGTTGTGTTCTCTCTCTCCCCCCTCTCTAAAAAAAAAAATCAATCAATCAATAAAAAGAGTGTTAAAAAAAACCACCCACAACTTAAAAAAAAAAAATTCTCGCCCAGCTGGGCGTGGCTCAGTGGTTGAGTGTCGACCTAGCATCCAGGTAATCAGGGTTCGATTCCTGGTCAGGGCACATGCCCAGGTTGCGGGCTCGATCACTGACTCTCTCATCATTGATGTTTCTATCTCTCTCTCTCCCTCTCCTTTCCTCTCTCTGAAATCAATAAAGATATATTTAAAAAAATAATAATAAAATTCTCATTATCTTCTAGAAATAGAAAGGGCCTGTGGACAGAATGAGTCAACCTCTGTGGTTCCTTTCACTTCTCTCAAGTTTCTGTTCCTTCCCCTCTCACAGGTGAAAAGGAATCACAACCTCAAAATTTAATGAATAGCAGCAAGTATTATTTTAAAATATATAGTTGAAAATCCTAAAATGAAAGAAAAGTGAACTTACTGGCTTTAAAAACAAAGAGGACAAAGAATCTGTCTGGATGGTAATCTATCAGATGGGGAACAAAGAGCCCATGTCTCCCACTAGCGCTTGATTTCACAGGACCCCACTGCTGTCTCCTTCAGGATTTAGCTGCGCTCTTCCACCCCCACACCAATAGAGGATCAAACACACCCTCCTTAAGAGGGGACAGACACAGGAGGGACAGGGGAGAACAGGCAAACCTCTCAAACCAATGAGATGGGACTGAACCTGCTTCCCCAAGATCAAGTTAAGGGACTGTCTGGAGCCAAAGTACCCCAGAGGCAGAGACAGTGCAATTTCTAGAACCTAGATTCCAAGATGGCTGCAGAGTAGGTGGAAGCTACACTAACCTGTTCCCAGCCCCAAACTGGATCTACAGCTATGTTATATAGCAATCAACCTGGATAACCAACCGAAAGCTAGCTGAACTGACATTATAACCAAGGACTTACAGAAGAAGCCACACAGAGACTGGTAAGGGCAGAGACATGGAAAGGGCTGGCCCCTCAACCCAGGTTCGCTGGCAGCTGAGAAGCTAGAGGGACACTGCGGTGGCAAAACTCCCTCCTCGCAGTAGCGTGGGGTCTCAACCCCACACAGGGATTCCCAACCTAGAGCAAGGGAGATGGGAACATAGTATCTGGTGGTGAAAATCAGTAGGGATTCAGTCTGCCTGCAGGACCCAGGTGCCAACCTCCCAGGAACAAGCACTCCTATTGTTACAGCACCAGCCTGGGAGTGCACTGCCTGGTCTCCAACTCCTGATGAGGCCACTCTGCTGTACTCCGGTCCTGTGGAGGGGTCTGCTGGTTGCATCCATCAGTGACATTTGGGGCCCTCTTTTTCTGGGGAGGCTTTTGGTGGATACTCAGACAGTGACTAAACTGTGTGGCTTTGGAAAGAGGGTGGGTCTTTCTCACCAACAGCCCGCAGCCAGTGCTCCTCCCCCTACCTGTTGGCTCACTTGGCAGGCCTTGTCCTGCTGAATTCAGACTTTTGGACCGTGTCTCCCAAGGAAGCTTTTGTCTGGGCAGGTACTGGGGTGTGTGGCTACATCAAAGGGGAGGGGCACTTCTTTCTCCCCAGAGAGCTCAGACCTCACTACCCCAGGAAGAAGAAGTACCCACATACAAGAATCTCCAACTAGAGTTGGAGGCTTTGGCAGAGACTGAGTGATCTGGCTCTGAAGTAGGGGCCACTTTCCCCTCAGTGCATGCCTGACTTTGTGATCCCCAAGTAGCCGACCCACTAGCCCTGTATTCCCAACACTGGTTGCCCCACCCTACTGAGCTCGCAACCTGTGGAAGAGGTTGTGGTTCACGGTCAGCCTGGGCTCACTAAAGTCTTTTTTCGGAAGGCTCTGGAGGAAGACCAGGCAACCTCGGGGGAGGCAAAGTAGCAGACAAGTGGAGGCCAGCCTCAGGGAGCCCGATCCTTTTGCAGATCTGCCCCCAGCACTAAGCTGGAGGAAGCAGACCCATATACACAGATTGGCCACTCCCATGCACACCCAGGTCCAACAGATGCAGCCACAAACAGTGAACAGAGTGGTAGCTCCGAACAGGCAGTGCAAGGCCAGTTACAGAGAATGTCTGACACTGACCTGCACCTGAACCCTGCCCAAGTAGACCCAGAACCAATACAACCAGCGGTGGACTTGAGACAACATCCAAGCTCGACCCACCTAGCCACACAGTGGCACACCCAAAAAGGGATTCCGGCAGGCACCAAACCCTGCTGGGAACAACTCCGCCCTTGTAGAGCATCTCATACATGGTGATAGAGGTTTATCTTTATAGTCAGCCAGACTGAAGTGTTAATTCCATCCATAAAAGGGCCAACAGCATTTAAGACTTAACTATAACAGGAGGGCGCACATTATGCATAAGAAACATTTCTGGAGCACGAGCTCAGGTGATCTGGAAGATCATGCCACTGAAACCAACAAGACATCTTCATCATAAGGCCATTACAGTAAGTTTGGGAGTCATCTACCTAATACACACAGAGAAAATGGGGAAACAAAGAAAAATGCACCAAACAAAAGGACAAGAGAAACCCCCCCAGAAAAGAATTAAATGAAACGGAAGCAACCAAAATACCAGATTCAGAGTTTAAAACAATGGTTAGAAGGATGCTCAAGAACCTTAGGGGAAGAATGGTTCAATGTCATGCGTAACCACAACCACATCATATGGTAACAGAAAGAGAAGAAAGTGAGAAAGGGACAGAAAACCTGTTTGAAGAAAAAATAGCTGAAAACTTCCCTAACTTGGTGAAGGAAAACGTCACACAAGTTCAGGAAGCACAGAGAGTCCCAATCAAGAAGAACCCAAGAGACCCATACCAAGGCACATCACAATTAAAATGACAAAGGTTAAAGGCAAATAATGCAGCAAGAGAGAGACAGTTACCTACAAGGGAGTTCCCATAAAGCTGTCAGGTGATTTCTCAACAGAAACACTTCAAGTCAGAAGGGATTAGCATGAAATATTCAAAGTGATAGAAAAGCAAGGGCCTGAATCTAAGACTACTCTACTCAGCAAGGTGAACATTTAAAATTGAAGGTGAAATAAAGAGCTTCCCATACAGCCTGGCCAGGCTGGGTCAGTGGCTGAACATCAACACATGAACCAGGAAATTGTGGTTCAATTCCTAGTCAGGGCACATGCCCAGTTTCAGGCTAAATCCCCAGTAGGGGGGCATGCAGGAAGCAGTCTATCAATGGTTCTCATCATTGATGTTTCTCTCTCTCTCTCCCTTCCTTCTCTCTGAAATCAATAAAACATATATATATTTTAAAAGAGCTTCCCATACAAAAAAAGCTAAAGGAGTTCATTACCAACAAACCAGTATTTCAAGAAATGTTAAAGGGCCTACTTTAAGAAGAAGAAAGAGAAAAAAGAGAGGAACAGGTATAAAGAATAAAATAGCAATAAGTAAGTACCTATCAATAATAACCTTGAATGTAAACTAATTAAAGGCTCCAATTAAAAGACACAGGATAGCTGAATGGATAAGAAAACATAACCTATATATATGCTGTCTACAAGAGACCCACCTCAGGACAAAAGATACACACAGAATGAAAGCGAAGGGATGGAAAGAAATACTCCATGCAAATAAAAATGGGAAAAAAGCTGGGGTAGCAACACTTATATCTGACAAAAAAGACTTCAAAACAAAGGCCATAAGAAGAGACAAAGAAGGTCACTACATAAAACTAAAGGGATTGATCCAACAAGAATATGTAACCCTTTTAAACATATATGCACACAACAGAGGAGTACCTAAATCTTGGTGGACATTAAGGTAGAGATCGACAGTGGTACGGTCATAGTAGGAGATTTCAACACCCTACTGTCATCAATGGGTATATCTTACAGACAAAAAATCAACAAGGCAACAGCGACCTTCAACGACACACTGAATTGGATAGATTTCATATTTATAGAACATTTCATCCCAAAGCAGCAAAATATACATTCCTTTCAAGTGCACATGGAACACTCTCAAAGACAGATCACGTTAGAATGCAAATAAGTCTTAACAAATTCAAGAAGACTGAAATCATATCAAGCATCTTCTCTGACCAAAATATGAAACTAGAAATCAACTACAATAAAAAAAACTGAAAAAACATTCAAACACATGGAGGTCAAACAGCGTGTTATTAAACAATAAATGGGTCAACAATGAGATTAAAAAAAACCTACACTGGAGCCCTGGCCAGTGTAGCTCAGTGGTTATAGAGCACTGGCCCATGCACCAAAGGATTGCGGGTTCGATACCCAGTCAAGGGCATGTACCTGGGTTGTAGGTTCAATCCCCAGTCCTGGTCAAGGTGTGCACGGGTGGCAACCAATTGATGTGTCTCTCTCCCCTCCCCACCCCCTCTCGTGTCCCTTCCACTCTCTTAAAAAAAAAAAAAAAAAATTAAAAAAAGAAAGAAATATATGTATCTCCTCAGTGAAGATTAACAACAACAAAAAAATTTACCTGGAAACAAATGAAAATGAGCACACAACCACCCAAAATCTATGGGACAAGCGAAAGCAGTTCTAAGGGAAGTTCACAGCATTATAGGCCTACCTCAAGAAGGAAGAAAAATCTCTAATAAACAATCTAACTCTTTGCCTAAAAGAACTAGAAAAATAACAACAAAGCCCAGAGTAAGTAGAAGGAAGGAAATAATAAAGATCAGAGAAATAAATGACATAGAAACTAAAAAACAACAACACACAATACAAATGATCAATGAAACCAAGAGCTGGTTGCTTGTAAAGATAAACAAGACTGATAGACCTTTAACCAGACTAATCAAGATAAAAAGAAAGAGGACCCAAATAAATAAAATCAGAAATTTAAAGAGGCAAAGTAATAACTGACATCACAGAGATACAAAGGATTATAGGAAAATACTATGAAGAACTATATGCCAACAAACTGGACAAATGGATAAATACCTAAGAAAGACACAATCTTCCAAAACTGATTCAGGAAGAATCAGAAAACCTCAACTGACCAATTACGACTAATGAAATTGAAGCAGTAATAAAAAAACTCCTAGCAAACAAAGTTCTGGACCAGATGGCTTCACAGGCGAATTTTTAGCAAACATTCAAAGAAAACTAACACCTATCCATCTGAAACTATTCCAAAAAATTCAAGAGGAGGGAAGAGTTCCAAGCTCTTTTTATGAGGCCAGCATTATCCTAATTCCAAAACCAGATAAAGACACTACACAAAGAAAGAAAATTATAGGCCAATATTCCTGATGAAATAGATGCTAAAATCCTCAATAGAATATTAGCAAACCAATCCAGCAATACATTAAAAAGATCATACACCGCCCTAGCCAGTTTGGCTCAGTGGTTAGAGCATCAGCTCTTGGACTGAAGGGTCTCGGGTTTGATTCTGGCCAAGAGCACCTGCCTTGGTACCAGGCTCAATTCCCGGCCCTGGTCAGGGCACATATGGGAGGCAACCAACTGATGTGTCTCTCTTACATCTATGTCTCTATGTTTCTCCCCCTGCCACCTCTTCCACTCTCTCTGAAAAGCAATAGAAAAAAATATCCTTGGATTAGAGGGGGGGAAAAAAAAGATCATACACTATGACCAAGTGAGATTATTCCAGGGATACAAGGTTTGTACAATATTTGAAAATCAATGAATGTGATACAACTCTGGCAAGTGTTGCTCAATGGTTAGTGCTGGCCTGTGCACCAAAGGGTCACGGGTTTGCTCCCCACCCCCAGTCAGAGCACATGAGGGAGGCAATCAATGTCTCTCTCTCTCTCTCTCTCCCTTCTGAAAAGCAATGGGAAAAATATCCTCAGGTGAGGATAAAAAACCAAAAAATACAGCCACAAAACAAAATGAAGGGTAAAAATATCACATGATCGTATCACGGGAACTTGGAACTTTTTCTGCATTTTAATAGATGCTTTAGCATTTGATAAAATCCAGCATCCATTTATGATAAAAACTCTTAGTAAAGCAGGAATAGAGGGATCGTACCTCAACATAAAAAAGGTGATATATAACAAACCTACAGCCAAAATCATACTCAATGGGCAAAAACTAAAAACGTTTCCTTTAAGATCAGGAACAAGACATGGATGCCTGCTTTCACCACTCTTATTCAACACAGTACTGGAAGTTATAGCCACAGCAATTAGAGAAAAGGAAAAAATAAAAGGCATCCAAATTGGAAAGGAGGAAGTAAAACTGTCATTATCTTCAGAGGACATGATATTGTACATAAAAAACCCTAAAGACTACACCAAAAACTACTAGATCTAATAAATGAATTTGGTAAAGTAGCAGAATACAAATTAATATTCAGAAATCGGTGGCATTTTTATACACCAATAATGGACTATCAGAAAGGAAATTAAGAAAATAATTCCATTTACCATTGCAACAAAAAATAAGGTATCTAGAAATAAATTTAACCAAGGAGGTAAAAAACCTGTACTCAGAAAATTATAGGACATCGAAGAAATAAAGTGAGGAACATAGTAAGTGGAAGCACATACCATGTTTCATGGATTGGAAAAATTAACATCATTACAATGTTCATACTATCAAAAGCAATCTATAGATTCAATGCAATTCCTATTAAAACACCAGTGGCATAGCCCTGGCCAGTGTTGCTGAGTGGTTAATGTTGGCCTGTGCACCAAAGGGTCTTGGGTTTGATTCCCGATCAAGGGCATGTACCTGGGTTGCAGGTGCAATCTCCGACCCTGTTCAAGGTGCCTACAGGAGGCAACCAATCAATGTGTCTCTCTCACATTGATGTTTCTCTTTTTCTCTCTCTCACACACACTCTCTCTCTAAAAAAAAAAAAAAAAAAAAAAAAGGAAAAAAAAAAATCAATGGGAAAAATATCCTCAGGATTGACAACAAAAAATACCAACAACATATTTCACAGATCTAGAACAAATATTCCAAAAATGTATATGGAACCAAAAAAGACCCTGAACAGCCTCAGCGAAACTGAGAAAGAAGAAAGTTGGAGGTATCACAATACCTGATATCAAACTATACTTACAAGGCCACTGTAATCAAAACAACCTGGTACTAGCATAAAAACAGGCAGGCATATTAGATCAACGGATCAGAACAAAGAGCCCAGAAATAAAGCCATGCCTTCATGATCAATTAATATTTGACAAAGGAGGCAAGAGCATACAATGGAGTAAAGACAGTTTCTTCAATAAATGGTGCTGGGAAAACTGGACAGGTACATGCAAAAAAATGAAACTAGACCATCAACTACACCATACACAAGAACAAATTCAAAATGGATAAAAAATCTAAGTCGCAAAACCATAAAAATCCTAGAAGAACACATAGGCAGTAAAATCTCAGACATCTCTTATAGCAGTATTTTTCCTGATATATCTCCCCGGATAAGAGAAACAAAGGAAAAATAAACAAATGGGACTACATCAAACTAAAAAGCTTTTGCACAGCAAAATAAACCATCAACAAAATGAAAAGGAAACCCACTATATGGGAAAACATATTTGCCAATAATACATCTGATAAGGGGATTATTTCCAAAATATATAAAGAACAAATACAATTCAACCCCAGGAAGACAAAAAATCCAATTTAAAAATGGGCAAAGGACCTGAATAGACACTTCTCCAAAGAGAGATACAGATGGCCAAGAAACATGAAAAAATGCTCAATGTCACTGATCATCAGAGAAATGCAAATTGAAACCACAATGATATATCACCTCATTCCTGCCAGAATGGCTACCATTAATAAATCAACAGACAATAAGTGCTGGTGAGGATGTGGAGAAAGGGGAACCCTTGTGCACTGTTGGAGGGAATGCAGACTGGTGCAGCCACTGTGGAAAACAGTATGGAGTTTAATTAAAAAATTAAAAATAAAGCTGCCTTTTGACCCAGTAATCCCACTTCTGGAAATATATCCTAAGGATTCCCAAACACTAATTTGAAAGAATATATGTGCCCCAATGTTCAATGCAGTGTTATTAACAATAGCCAAGATGTGGAAACAGCCCAAGTGCCCATCAGTAGGTGAGTAAATAAAAAACCTGTGGGATATTTACATAATAGAATACTACTTGGCTGTAAAAAAGACGGAAATCTTACCTTTTGAAACAGCATGGATGGACTTGGAGATTATTATGCTAAGTGAAATAAGCCAGTCAGAGAAAGACAAA